AAAGCCTCCCAAGTGGTTGATTTGAACTCCATCCTGCGCGTTTTGCCCCACATCCTGGGAGATCGCTCGTTTTGTGTTGCAGGGCACGACGACCTGTCCCGACGTCCGCACGTCATTTCCCCAGCAGCCCGTTTCTGCCGATTCCGCGGGCGTCACACTGCGCCCGCTGCGCGGTTCCCTCGCCTATGGCCAGCCCTTGGAACTCACTCGCGCGTGCGCGGGTGGCCTGCGTGTCCTCCTTCCCCTATTGCTGGCCGTCTCTCGGCGACTCCCGACCCGCAGGACCTGCGAATAGCACGCGCCGCGCAGCTCATCGCGCTGTGGCGCAAGGATAACAGGAAAAGGGAAGACGCCAAGGTGCCCTCGCTCTTGAAGGTTTCTCAAGCCTCATGCGCCAGCGTAGACATGTTTGCTTCTTCAGGCGATGTTACCGCATTCTGTCAGAGGTCGCCTGGGATCCCACGGCAAGTGATTATTGAAAATGCCATCTAAGCGTAAGGTGCCCAAGTGTGATACAGATCTTGCAGCTCTGGCGCCGATCTGCAACTTGCTATCGCTGCATATGTGTGCGTGCTTATGCCAGTGCCAGTGTTTGTGGCTGTTTGTGTGCATGCGTGCGCCTGCGCTTGCCTTCGCACTAGCCCTTACATCGCCTAGACGCCCCATCATCCTGGTGGATCGAGGCACTGAAAGTTGTACGAGCGCAAGCCTCAAGCAACTGCGCGTGAACGTGGATCGGTGCAGGCATGTGTGGATGTCTCGCAAGCAGGCTCTGCCTAGGGCTTCTAACCTGTTTTTGTGGAGGGCCACTGCTCGCCAGGTCTATTTAGTGAGGTGGCCCTCGGCCTTTCTCGGCTCCCCTGTACTGTTCCTTGCCTGCCTTCCCCTGGTTGCCTGGTCTTGTTCCCTGGGTCCCCCGGTCTTGTTCCTTGCCTTCTTTCCTCGAGCTCTCCGATCGCGGCCTAACTCGGTTCCCCGGTCTCGTTCCTCGCCTTCCTTCCTTCCTTCCTTCCTTCCTTCCTTCCTTCCTTCCTTCCTTCCTTCCTTCCTTCCTTCCTTCCTTCTTATGCCATGAGGAGCAATGCCGCACTATTCAAACTAATTAGTGCCAAGCAATGGACGGACCGGGTCGCCGAGCATGCCCACCGCGAGAGCAGAGCCCCGAGAACTTCGACAGCGCCTTCCTCCAAGCCTTCCTGGCGTCCGTCGGGCGTGCCGTCGGCCCCGCTGCGGCTGCCCCCTCGGTGCCTCTCGTCGGCGGCTCCAGGCCACCGCCTGCCTCGCGTGTGCCTTGGTCGCCTCCCTTCCCTATGCTATCCCCGCGTTCCGCCGTGCCCCACTTCGCTTCCGGCGCGTCCCGCCCGTACCCGCTTCGGCTCGCTGGCGCTCGCACCCGCTTCGGCTCGCTTGCGCCCGCTGGCTTGAAACGTGTCTTGGTCGCCTCCCTTCCCTGCCCTGGCCCGCGCCGCGCCCGCCCCCCCGGCCACCCCGCGCCGGCGGGCTCGACTGGCGACCTCCGCTGCAGCAATCAAGCAGTGGCGAAGCGTCCTGGCTCACCTATAGGCCCCCCCCAAAAAATGTTCGAACCACTTTTTTTTGGTCTGCACGACATGTTCGTGGAACACTTCTGGCTCAGACCGTCTTGTTTTGACACATGGGGCTTATGTGATAAGAACACTGCTGCTGTTATTCGAAAGTTAAGTTCTCGTGCTCCAGGAACATGGTGTGGTGGGTCAACAAGGCCGGCCCCTGCTCAAAAGTTTCTGTGCTCCGGGAACATGTCGTGGTGGGTCAACAGGGCCGGCCCCTGCTCAAAACAGGGCCGCGGACGCCCGACCCTGGCAGGCGGCGGCCGGCGGGGCGCTCCCCCTGCAGGGCTTTGGCCGACGTGGGAGCCCTGCCGCCGTGCGCCCAGCCGTCTGCCCTCGGCGCCCCTCCCGGGCCCCCGACGTCACGATTTGTTCGAAGCGCCGACCTCCAGAGGTCTCGACTCCGCCTCCTCCTCCTCCTCCTCCTCCTCCTCCTCCTCCTTCTCCTCCTCCTCCTCCTCCTAGCTCCTCCTCCTCCTCCTCCTCCTCCTCCTCCTCCTGCTCCTGCCAGTCGCCAACCGACGGCCCCAGGGCCTGGGAAGGGCCCCCAGAGGCCGAGCACAGCGAACGGTTCGCCGTCGCGACTTTTCACGACTCGACCGCCGCCTGCGGCGCAGCCCGTCTTCGCCCCACTGGCCGCTGCCCCACGGCCCTGTCCCCGGCAGGGTGCCGGCGGCCTGGGGCGGCGCCTCCTTGCAGCCGCCGCTGCACGGTCGGCGCCTCCGCTCTGAGGCCCCCCGGGGCCCGCCGGGGCCACGTCCCCTTCACGCCAGCTTGCCGCCCTTCCCTGGCCTCCCCCTCTGCTTCATAACTCGGTCGGGCTGCCCCCCCCCCGGACCTGAGAGAACGCCGACTGAGGTCGCCGCGCGGCGAGGTCGCCGCACGCTCTCTCCAGGGAGGCGTTGAGCGCGCGCGGTGCCCCCCCGACCAGCCGTCAGCCCCCTCTGCCCTGGCCCAATCCAGCCCAAGGCCAGGGCAGAAGCGACCGACGGCGATGCGCCGACGCCCCCACCCCCACCCCTCTCTCGATGCGCCACATGGTTGCGGCAAAAGCTCCAGGGGGAGTGCCGCAAGGGGAAGCCGAGCCAGGACCGCGCCAAAGGGGGAGGGCCCCCGGCCCCTCCCCCCTCGGCGCGATCCTGAGCAGCCACGCATCCTGTGGTGGGGGGGCCTCCCTGGCAGGCCCCCCCGCCACAGGACGCGTGACCAGACCGGAGGGGTCGGGTTCGCCTCGCGGCGGGCCCCTCCCCCCGCGCAGGCATGCCTCGGGGCCACCCCGCAGCGCGGCCCCCCGTTCGGGCGGAGCTGCCCGTGGGCCCCGCCTGCCGCCCTGCGGTGGCTGCGACGTGGCCGCTTTCAGGGCCTCGGGGCCAGTCTTCGTCGGCCGCGGCCGAGGAAGGTTCGCTTGGCGCGACGCCGCGCGCTCGCGCTCCTGCTGGGCAAAGTCTGTGTGTGTGTGTGCGTGTGTGTGTGTGCGTGTGTGTGTGTGCGTGTGTGTGTGTGTGTGCGTGTGTGTGTGTGTGTGTGTGTGTGTGTGTTTGTGTGTGTGCGTGCGTGCGTGCGTGCGTGCGTGCGTGCGTGCGTGCGTGCGTGCGTGCGTGCGTGCGTGCGTGCGTGCGTGCGTGCGTGCGTGCGTGTGTTTGTGTGTGTGTGTGCGTGTGTGTGTGTGTGTGTGTGTGTGTGTGTGTGTGTGTGCGTGTGTGTGTGTGTGTGGATTGCGTCTGCGTGTGCGCGTGTGCCTGTGTGCCTGTGCGCGCGCGTGCGCTACCCCTGCAGTTAGCAATTGTTCAGAACTGCTGCTTTGGCCAATACGTCGATTTCACTGCAAGCCAACGCAGAGGTTCCACTGCAAGCCAACGCAATTTGTTTGACTCCCCGCAGAGGTTTAAGCCGAGACGCGCGCTTTTCATCCGACACCTTGTATGTGCGCGCAAGTATGTCCGCGCGTATCCATATGTATCCATCCGTTCTGGCCGTTACAGCCAATCCGCATAGTACAGATGATCGACTTCCCAAATTTACCCTTGCATCCTTGTTTTCGGTCATCTCCCCCCAACCTCAGCCACTTTCGATGGCCAGCACCGCTCGAAGAGCCTCGGCATGGGCGTCCCAGGCCCTTGCATCCTTACCGCGCATCCGTACAATATGGGTTGACTGTAGCCGTTTCGCCGCCCCGTTGCGCCATTGACTCGATTCTTATAGTCGATGTACTAAAAGCGTCTGCCTGAGAAGACAACGAATTTATATGGGTCCTGGCTCGAGCTACTATTTCGCGCGGCGCTCGCTACCACTGTCGTAGCATCGTTGCTTGAGTGTTCCGTTGCCCCGTAACGTGATGTGTTCGTCGCTCGGCTCGTTGGCTCTTTGTACCATGACACATGAGCTTGTCTCTTCGCTGCGTGCCGAGCATGTGTTGCGCTTCTGACGGGGATCCAGCGATCCACGGAGATCGCTGTTGGCGTGCCCAGGGTCACCGAGGTCGCCCCAGAAACTGGCTCGAGCCCACAGGAGCCAGCGCCGGGGCGAGAGGCCCTCGCGGTCACAGCAGCCGCTCGAGGGCCCGTCAGCCGATGGCGCATCCGCAAGGTGTCGCCGGGGGGAGAACTGTTGCGTATTGGCCGCCACCAGTCCTCGTTGTCGTTCTCTTCCCTCCCGTTCCTCATCGTGCGTGGCCATTTTGGCTCGGTGTCAAAGTGCGTCGCGCCGCCGCGCGCTCTGATGTGGTTCGTGCTGGCCCACGCTCGGATCCTACCCGTGCCACCCCCTTGTGCTTCGCAACTCCTCAGCAACACCTGCATCCGCTGCAGAGTAGCGGCTGGGCCAACCTGACGAACACGGCACTTTAACATATTGTAGCGAGTCATGTTTTCGCAAGTGCAGCGGCTGTTTTCGTCGTCTTGTTTGGCGACGCCATTACATGGCATTGATGTTATGGGCATGGCCCGCACGCCATTGAGCAGGCGGTTTAGTTTCAGCCGCATTTTGACGTGACCACCAGTTTCCTCGTGCTCGCTCGCTTAGGGTTGTGGAGGACGATCAATGGAGAGGAAGCATGTTGCCAAATAATTTCCAGCTGTCTATAACATGCGTTATACATGCTTTAAACATGTAAAACCATATTTAAAACCTATTTAGAACATGTTTACACATTTTCAACACATGTTCAACAATTCAATGATAGGATTGTAAGAGTGTCCATTGTCATGGCATCCTCAATCCTTGGGTTGGTGCGCAGAGGGCAGGCGTGCTCGGCACGACGACGCCAGATGCAAAGCCTACTGTGTGCGCACGTAGCGAAGTTGCCGTGCACTGTTGTTACAGCTGCCGCAGCTCATCCCGCTGCGGGATGGCTCTCGATCGCTGGACGCGGCATCGCGATGATCACTGGCGTGGCCAACGCCTGCGCTGCGTCGCCACTGGGCGCCGCTGACCAGGCGTAGAGCCGGAATGGCGAGGCACGCCTGCCACTGTCGGATGTCTCCGAACTCCCAGCGCGATTATTGTGGGCAGCTGATGAGCCATTACGAGGAGGATGGTGCGCAGTGGACTCGAGACCACGCGCGCTGGGAAGACCTTCGCGCAGCCTCTGGCGCGGAGGATGAGGAATAGCAGCCAGAGCACGAGCAATGAATCGAATATCCCATAAATACAGTCAACGCGCCTAGTAAGGACGTGCGCCTTCATCTAGGGTGCCATTGTGTCCTTGCCTCTGCGGCCCGTCCTCTGCCGTTTGCGCTGGTCGCCCGCCGCCCAAAGAATCCCAGCTTCGGCCTCCCAAGGGTCCTGCGTCCTTCGCCGCCCAAAATATCCGAACTTCGGCCTCCAAGGATCCTGCGTCCTTACCGCCCGTCCTTCATACACGTTTTGACGGCACTTGCGCTCCCGTCTCAGGACGGCCAGTGTAGGGCGACGAGATCTGTACTACGGAGCCCACATATATTCACCACCACCACCATCTCCCTCATCCCCTCCCTCTCCCAGGAGAGAGGAGAGGAAGATGAGGGTGGAGGAGGAGCCGTGATGTATGTTCTTGGTCGTGGAATGGTGGTGGTGGAGGCGAGGAATCGGCGTGGTGGTGGTGGTGGTGGAGGAGAGGAATCGATGTGGAGGGTGAAGTGGTGGTGGTGGAGGAGAGGAATCGACGCGGTGGTGGTGGTGGTGGTGGTGCCTATTCTTAGGGCCCGCGCGTACGCACCCGCCGCCCCTGGCCAGGGCTCTTTTTGGGCCCCGGGGAGCGGTGCGCGCGCCTCCCTGTTGTGGGCCGTGGCCCCCTGCACGGGCACGTGGGCCTCCCCCAGCCTCCCTCGCGGCCCGCGGTGCCTTCGGGAGTGTTGTGCGGATTGCTTGGTTCGAGTTTCGAAGTGGCGGGGTGCGTTTCGAGTTCTCTTGGCCTCTGTGACGAGCCGAACCGCGCAGACCAATTTAAGCTTTGAGATCCGCGCCAGAGTCGCATTGAGCGAAGGCATACATTATAGTTCCGATTCGCGCGATGACCATTCGAACGCGCAGAATGACGTTAGAAAGGAGCGTGCTTGAAACCATATGCGCGCGCGTTAAAACTAAAGCAGAGTGGATATGATCGAACATTTTAGCTTCCATATCACATGTTTATGCTGTTTGAATAAGTTGCCCCTGCATCGCAAATGCAATCCTATGTTTTCAGACAAGACGTTTTTTTCGTGTGCGCTCTGTCTACACAACACCTTTCGCTTCGTTCATTGTCTTGAATGCTTCTTGTCATAATATACAGCGCGGTTAGTCTATTGAGTGTCGGCCGTTGCCAAAATTTCGCAGGTGGAGGGGGGGGGGGAATGTGGAGGGTTACCATTTAGCCGAGATGTTTGTTGTTATTTTCAGGGGTGTTGCACCTCGAAGAATTGGTTTCGTTGTCGTTGCCTTTTCCTGCGTAATTCGGTTTCCGCAAGTGTGACGGGAGGGATCTACTACCACTACGAACTACTACTACTCCTACTACTACTACTACACTACTACGCCTATTACTACTACTACACTACTAACTACTGTACTACTGACTACTACTCCTACTACTACTATTACTACTACTACTACGACTACTACTACGACTACTATTACAATACTACTACTACACTACTACTACTACTACTAACTCTACTACTACTACTATCAATCACTACTACTACTACTTTACTCTACTACTACTACTACTACTACACTAACTACCTACTAACTATACTACTACTACTAATACTTACTACTACTAGTACTACTACTAGTACTACTACTACTACTACTACTACTACTACTACTACTACTACTGCTGCTACTACTACTACTACTACCTGCTACTACTACTACTACTACTACTACTACTACTACGAGTACCACGACTACTACTAGTACTACTGCTACTACTACTACTACTACTACTACTACGACTCTTGCTAGTACTATTCCTACGGAAACTATTATTTTCTACTACTACTACTACTACTACTACTACTACTACCTACTACTACTACTACGACTACGAGCATTATTGCTACTACTATCACAATGACAACAACAACTACTACGACTACTACTACTACTATTACTACTACTACTACTACCGCTACTACTACAATTAGTATTACCATTACGACTACCACTACGACTACGACGACTACTACCACTCGTCCTATTACTACTCCCATTACTACTACAACTACAACTACAACTACAATTACTACTACAACTACAACTACAACTACTACTACTGGCACTACTACCACTACTACAACTACTACTACTACTACTACTACTACTACTATTACTACTACTACGAGTAGTTCCACCACTTCCACTCATATTACTATTCCTGTCGCTGCTACTATCATTATTAGTACTACCGCTACTACAACTACTACTTTTACTACTACTTCTTCTTCTCCACTACTTCTACTTATGCTTATACTTCTGCTGCTACTATAACTACTGCTATTACTACTACTTCTACTAATACAACTAGTGCTAGAACGACTATTATTTTTAAAACTACACGACTATTAGTTTTAAAACTACAACTACTAGTATTACGACTATTATTTCTACTATAACTATTCTTACGATTAGTATTGCTGCTTCTACTATTCGTACTACTACTACTACTACTACTACTACTACTACTACTACTACTACTACTACGAGTATTTCCCCATATCCTAAGATGGGGTTCTTGTTATTACTTGGACGCCTCCTACTGCCTCTCCCTCCTCCTCTTTCCTCCTCCCCTCCTCCTCTTTCCTCATACTCAGACCTACTCAGACTCAGACTTACTCATACTCAGACTCACTCATACTCAGACCTACTCATACTCAGACTTACTCACACTCAGATATACTCATACACAGACTTACTCATACACAGACTTACTCACACCCAGACGTACTCATACACAGACTTACTCATACCCAGACTTACACATGCACAGTATTACTCATACTCAGACGTACTCATACCCAGACGTACACATACACAGACTTTCTCATACACAGACCTACTCATACCCAGACTTACTCATACACAGACTTACTCATACACAGACTTACTCATACTCAGGCATATTCATACTCAGACCTACTCACACTCAGATTTACTCAACACACATCAGATTTGGAGGATGTCTCAAGCGGGGCGCTGGTTTCAGCACCCCTAAGGGGAGCCGCCATGGGGTGTTTGCACGGGCTCGTTCGCGGCCGTTTTGTGGGGATGTCCCAGGCGGTTTGCTTGTTTCTGGCCTCAACATCCTTCGCTTGGATGGCAGATTGTGAGGATGTCTCAGGCGGGGGGGGGGGGTGGCGCTTTGTTTCTCACCCCTAGTAAGGGGGGCACGCCCAGTGGTGTTTTGCACGGGCTCGTTTCGCGGCCATTTTTGTGGGGATGGCTCAGGATAGTCTCATTATGCGTTTTGCTTGTTGTCTTCTTTTCTTCTGGCTCCGCAACATCCTTCGCATCCTTCGCTTGGAGAGCAGATTGTGGGGATGTCTCAGGCGGGGCGCTGGTTTCAGCACCCCTAAGGGGAGCCGCCAGGGGTGTTTGCACGGGCTCGTTCGTTGCCATTTTGTGGGGATGTCTCAGGCGGTTCGCTTGTTTCTGGGCTCAACATCCCTCGCTTGGAGAGCAGATTGTGAGGATGTCTCAGGCGGGGCGCTGGTTTCAGCACCCCTAAGGGGGGCCGCCAGGGGTGTTTGCACGGGTTCGTTCGCGGCCATTTTGTGGGGATGTCCCAGGCGGTTTGCTTGTTTCTGGGCTCAACATCCTTCGTTTGGAGAGCAGATTGTGAGGATGTCTCAGGCGGGGCGCTGGTTTCAGCACCCCTAAGGGGAGCCGCCAGGGGTGTTTGCACGGGCTCGTTCGCGGCCATTTTGTGGGGATGTCTAGACGGTTTGCTTGTTTCTGGGCTCAACATCCTTTGCTTGGAGAGCAGATTGTGAGGATGTCTCAGGCGGGGCGCTGGTTTCAGCACCCTTAAGGGGGGCCGCCAGGGGTGTTTGCACGGGCTCGTTCGCGGGCCATTTTGTGGGGATGTCTCAAGCGGTTCGCCTGTTTCTGGGCTCAACATCCTTCGCTTGGAGAACAGATTGTGAGGATGTCTCAGGCGGAGCGCTGGTTTCAGCACCCCTAAGGGGAGCCGCCAGGGGTGGTTGCACGGGTTCGTTCGCGGTCCGTTTGTGGGGATGTCTCAGGTGGTTTGCTCGTTTTCATGCCCAACATCGCCGGCGGGGCTGCGCCTCCAAAAGTGGTGAAACGCGCCCTGGGGAACCAGGGTTGAGGAGGAAGAGGGGGAGGAAGAGGAGAAGGAGGAGGAGGAGGAGGAGGACTCGGGGAGGAAGCAATGGGATCAGGACGATGAGGTGAAGGATGACGACAAGGATGAGGAGGAGGATGTGTAAGAGATTGAGGACGAGGAGGAGGATGGCGTGAGCGAGGGAAATGACAGGAACGAGGATGAGGAGGAGGAACAGGAGGAGGAGGAGAAGGCGGGGGATCGTGAGGAGGGGCATGGGGGTGCGGAGGGGGATGCACGTGAATGAATGCATGCACGCGGTGGATGTGCAGCCGCGCTGCGCGCGCGTGTGTTCGCCGCTCACATGAACACGCTCGTGGAGCAAACATCTATCATATATAAATGCTCACCGTGGCACTACCCTCCAACATGACATGCACTTATGGCCTTGTGTGGCTAAACGCTCGTTTTACATATCCCACTTCCAACTATCCTAAAACATATGCACATATGGGAAGCTCCAAAGCTACCACGGGCTGACAAGGGGAAGGCCTGGCAGCTGAGGAGGGGGGATGAAGAGGAAGAGGCTCGCATTCAACCATACTCAAAGCTCACTCTGACTCATACGCAATCACTCGCATTAGGGGTCACTCGTCTTCGTCGG